ACTACACTGTAAGTCACATTCATATCCAGTGAAGCTTTAGGTTAAAAATAGTAATGATAGAAAACAGTCCTCAAGCAGTAAAAATATCTACTATTGTGAAGGAGAAAACAATGCGACCCACATAAAAGCCTCTAAAGTGATTCTAAAAATGATTCGTCTTCGACCGGTGAGCGATTAAGACTCCATCTTTGTGTGCGTACAAGAGCATTTCTGAGATGGTGACTCACTAACTTTGATAAACCTGGCTGCTTATTGGCACGCCTGATTCCTAGATGCTGCTATTTTTAGAACTCTGTCCCACAGTGCGCCCGTCTGTGTCACCCAGGAAGTTACTGGAAACGGCTCACGCCATCGTGTACCTCCAGAGGCCCAGTCCTACTGCTTTTTTCATCTCTCCCCCGAAGCCTTGGTAACAAGGTATAAGGAGATCATTAAGGTCAAATTAAATCCTGATGTAGACTTCTTGTACACCTCTTTATAAAACTCTGACAGGCTCTACAACATTCTGACATTTTTCCCATTGATTTAAAAATAGAATACCCTACATATCCTTGCTGGTGTTTGATTAAAAGTAAAATCTCTCAATATTTATTTAGGATTTGTGACAGTTTTTAAGAAAAAGTGACCTTCTTAAGAGACCATAAATCCCTTCCAAAATACGGCAAATTTGAAATCTCAACAACCCATGACTCATCACATAAATTGATTTACTGCTAGATTTACTTTTCCTTTAAAAAAAAAATCCTGAGAATTTGATATCCAAATGAAAAATATAAAGTAAAAAAATTTATGGATTAATTAAGGCTGTAAAGAAATGCCTTAACATGTTAAAGTAAGTCTGTTTGTAGACAAACTGACATGTTTCTAGCAATGTATTATATAGCATGTGCAATCGGCAGTCCTGAACCTTTCAGAACCAGTACTATATTTTGCCCTTTTCTTGATAGTTACAAGATGGATTAACAAAAAAAAAACATCAGGTTTGCTGCATCACTGCTGCTGTGCTTAAATATTTACTCTCTCTGAAGGATTTTAACCAGTGGAACTTTGGTCCAACACCAGGTGCTGAGAGCAAACGCTTACCTCCAGAAGAAAAAAGAGAGGAAGAAAAAAAAACCTTAGCCAAATGTCAGGCCGCCCCTTGCAGCTCTGTGGTGTCTGATAAAAGTCAGTCCCTTTAAGCACAGAGTTGGCAGTGTTACCAACTGAGGCACTGCAAGGCAGGAAAGTCCCCCGAGGGGCTGGCATTTCAGAACCAAGCCAGAGTCAGGGGCACCAGCAACATGGGATTCTTCAACTCACAAGGCGTGTTAACCAAATTATACATAGTCAGGGTTCTGGTTTATAACATTAACTTGATTTCATGTAAAAGCTGACTTGCATATCAGAACAAATATCAAAGAGAAGATTCTAAAATATCAGTCATATTCTGTAGGGAGCAACCACAAAAAATACCTCGATTGCTGTTGCATCATATCAAAATGTTTTTTATTTTTATTTTACTAACAAAACCAAAACATAAACCCTCCAAAATCAACATTGACAATTTTGATATAAAATACACTCACATACACTCACCCCCCAACCCAAACACATACAATCATATTTATCTATCCTTGTGGGGACTTTCATTGACCTCCATTCATTTCTAACCAATTTCTACAGCCTAACAATGACCCTTACCGTAACCATTACGGGTTCATACCTAACCCTAATCCTGACCTAAACTCAATACACATCTAACACGTAAGCCTAAAACAGCATTTGGACCCAAGGGGACCAGACATTGGTCCCCACAAGAGCACATGGTCCGCACAATGTGCTAAGATTTATGGAAAATGGTCCCCACCATGTGATAAATACATGCCCACGCACTCCTCCACACAAACACATAATTAGGAGAACCAGATAACTGTTCACTCACTCTTGTCTTTTTTAATTCTAAAGATTTGATCAGAAGGTTTTCTATATCGTTCCTACAACTGATGGTTTTCTAATTTCTGATGTTTTTAATCCTATTCCTATGATATCAAATTACTTATGGCCCTATATATGATGGAAATTCTACTCTCCAATAGGGCAGTATAAGGAAGAAGTGTAAAAAATTAGAAAGAAATTGTTATTGCAATTCCTGTCTTAAAAAAACAAAACAAAAATACCTATCTCTTCATTTCATTCTAAAGACCTCTAAATGTTTTTGGTTTTTTTTCATGATTCACAATTCACCTTTCCAAGTTCCAGGATGTTTCAGCCCCTGCATATTGCTGTATTCATCTTCTCTTCCTAAATAATATTTAATGCAACAATATGAAATCGCCTTCGGGTATTTATTAAAGTCTTATTTAATTGAAATCAGGCAACAATGCAGCCATCTGGATATGGAGTGCAGGTAGAAATGAGGATGCAGAGCAGAGGAGATGTGAGCGCAGCCTTTTGTTAGGCAGCTCTGATTACCAAGGTTACAGAGTGATGCTTAGCAGCTGTAGCTGTCACAGCAGGACGAGCAACTCATGATTCATGCTAAAGAAATTTTTAAAAGATTTCTGTGTGACTGTAGATATGCAATGCAGATCTATTTAAGAATGTTAAAGCTTTATTTAAAATAGTTAGAACGTACATTCCAATACCTGCTAGCAGAAGCTGTTTTTATTGTACGTCCCTCTTTCCCCTCTTTGTCCTCTGTGTTTTTTTTTTTTTCTTTCATGTCTTATTAATTATTAATGTCATTTACACAAGGGCATAAGACAACCTCTAGGTCATCCACATATACATGGGCAAACCTGCTCTCTGCTTGTCCCTATGGCCTATTATCATCCCTCTTAATTGGATTCAAAGGGAAAGAGACAAATATCCGCTGCCAGAAGTGTCTGCTGTTGCACCACTTTAGTTCTGAAGCAAGGCAAGCCTGGGAGTTAATAGAAAATATGATTTAGCTTCAGGGATGTTTCATGGTAATCACTGGCTCTCTGTGGCTTACTTGGCATTCTGGTAGCCATGCCGGTCAGGCCCACAGGGGTCGAGGCTGCAAGGCTGACATCAGCAATCAACGCTGATGAGCCCCACTGTTCAAAGGGAACCTGTTGAGCCCAGTGCAATCACCCAAATCAGACTTGTGCATTATAAAGAGATAGTTCAGGATTGTGTAGGAAAGGTTCTAGAGAGCAATTATACCTGTACCAGAAAGGTTAACTCTACTAACTTATTTATTTGGGACGATCCAGATTATTTGGTTGGAGGTCCCTAACAGCATGGCCAAGAGCAAGCCAGCGCCATCTTAAAACAACTCAAATATAGAAAATATCGAAAGTTGTTTATTTCTAAAGTATTTAAGATATTTTCAAACCATTTTTTTTACATAATATAAACATTTGAATACAGAAAATAGAGTTTGTGCGAAACTGTTTAACACTTTGAAAGATGTGAAACTTACATTGTTAGAGTAACTGATATGGGAAGATGACACTTAAATGCAAAATATGTTTTTAATATGTATTATTATATACATTAGTCATTCTGACACTTTCTCACTTTTATATTATGCAGTTACTTTGACTGGAAACATATGGACATAGGAGCAGATGCCACATTAATCTGGATCATATAACAACGTTGCTGCAAGTTAGGCCTGTGCAATATATCAGTTTTCTATTTCTATGAAATGAAAGCAATTTTGAAAAAACAAAAATCATTCGTGGAAATTTTGAGAATGCAGACTGAGAAATCCACTTGTAAAACTAAGGCTCTGGAGATTGTTTATATAAGGATCTGATCCTAAAAACAAAATGTTTTCTTCACAAGTTGTTATTTTTTAGACCTTTACAGAAATGTTTACTATAGCTATAACATACATGTATTTATTTTTAATGCTATTTAATCCCCAACAGTTAATTCATTGTGTGTAAATATTATTTATTTCCTCTATTCATGATAAAAATAATGGGTTACTTTTTAAGACACTACATTAAAAGAAGCAGCTATGTATATTTCCTTAGGTTTGGTTCATTTTAACCAATTTGTGTTTCGCATTAGTTACGCTTCCTATGTTAATATGCAGCTGTTGTAATCTTTGTCTCAATATATAACTGTTATAATCACCTCAAAATAGAAATCATGGCTTACTAAAGGGGTTTATTAAGACAAGTCAAATATAAAGTTTAGTGTTATTTTTGTATCGAAGAGTTCTGTTTCAGAATTTACAGTAGAACTAGAATAACCCCCACCGATATGGCTGATATGTTAATGTCCTGCTTTAAAATGGTAATAAAGTCAATGTGACGTCTACTCTTCGTCTCTGTGCCTTAAATCCACTATGTCCTATTCTCAGCATTTGTTTCACACAGCAGGATTTCTGGCCAGGGACCGCCTCAATTTCACGTGTAAATAATCTGTGGATTATTTGTAATTAATCAGTGCCACCGTTGTGACAAGTCAAAAGCTCCAGGATTTGCATAAACCGGTCTGGGTCCATTTCCGATTAAGTGATTAGCTTTAGCTTCCCTGATCAGCTTAATTTGATTGTTTTTTTTATGCCAATAGAATTATCTACCTTCCTTAAAGAATCCTCAACTACCCCTTTACAGTAGGCAAAGGAACTTGGATTCGCACGTCATGCTGTCAGTTCCTGCAGACCTCCATGGCTTGTCGTGTTGCTGTCTTCCTCATTATGATGGTTGCTATGGAAAGGTGCATCCTGATGAGACCATTTATCAAGCTGAAGGACTGTAGTGAATTTTTCCATCATCCTTTAATGCACATGCAAAAAGCATGACTCAGCCCATTAGGTTATTTGCTTCATGTTTAACTGCTAATTATTTCCAAATGGTGGACTGAATTATGTGGGCACCAGCGTGGCAGCAATATCTAACAGCCTGACGCTGAAAACAAACAAAAAATAAAACATGTTTTAGCGTGTGTAATGGATGTTTTTATTTGTATTTCACAACAGCTGTTTCATTTTGTTCTTTTTTTCTCTCTCTCTATCTTGTGGCATCTGGTCTTAGGCTGAAGATGAAGAAGAGGAGGACCAGCCTCTGAGCCTGTCCTGGCCTGAATCCAGCCGCAAACGCTTCACCTACCTCCTCATCATGCCGATTGTCCTCCCCCTGTGGCTAACTCTCCCTGACGTCAGGAAAACGGTGCTTTAGGCTGACTTTTCCAACTTTTAAGCCTCAAGAAATTGTTCTGCAGTCAAGAGATTATGTATTTACCTCTTCTTTTTTCTTTTGCAGTCGTCAAAGAAGTTCTTCCCTGTTACATTCTTGGGGGCCATCTGCTGGATTGCAGGGTTCTCCTATCTGATGGTGTGGTGGGCTCACCAGGTACACACAATTTTAAAGTGTTTGATAGGAAAAGAAAAAAAAATAAACAGCAAAATATCCTGTCCCCTAGTAAGCATAATCCACCTTTCTTTACATTATATGTCCTTACATCCTCCACATCATTGACAACATTTTTTCTGTGTGTGTGGGGGTATGTGGCTGGACGACATGTCCCCTGCACTTTTTCAAACGTCTATTTTAGTCCACTACACGTTTTACTCTCCAAAAACAATGTTATGTTACAGAACCCAGACATTCATCGGGCACTAGGACCATGCTGAAAACTACAGCTAAATCTGAAGCCTGCTTCCCTGAGTTCAGACCGCCCACAAGCTCCTGATTGGACCCTCTGTCCTTTCTTGTGTGAATGGCTGTCACCGCTGTCACTCCTGAGAAACTCACTTTACAAACATCTGGTGCGCCATTGAATCTGGTCTGTGATTGGATGCTCAAACGCACTGAAGTTAGTTATTTTTAAAAATCGTCGCGTCCCCCCATTTCTGAAATCAAAATTTTGTCCAGTCTGATCAAAGCACTATTACAGCTGCATCCTTCAAAACATAACGGACTGTTAGAGTTTTGTCACTCCCATCAGCTCCAAAGTGCCACAGGGACATTTGAAAAAGCTGAAACAAAAGATGAGGTTTTATTTACCCTAAAGCTTCTTTTTTTTTTTTTTTTTTTTCGCAGGTTGGTGACACCATCGGGATTACAGAGGAGATTATGGGTCTGACTATATTAGCAGCTGGAACTTCTATCCCTGACCTCATCACCAGTGTTATTGTTGCACGTAAGGGGCTGGGTGATATGGCAGTGTCCAGCTCTGTGGGCTCCAACATCTTTGACATTACTGTCGGGTACGTAACATCAGAGCTTTTTTAAGCCTTAGCTCAATGTTTGTTGTGTGTCCCCTCTAAGACTTCATTTTTTTTTTTTACTTTAAGTGCCTTTGGATTGAAAAACAATTTAAGCTCCTAAAGTTGTTCCGAGAAGAGATAAAAAGTTGAATGATGTCACATGTCAGGTCATGCTACAGCCTGTGCATGTATTTGAATTTCTGGTGATGCTAAATATATGAAATTGGATAAATATATATATTTTTATGGTGGAGCTTTTACAAAAATTGTAGCCTTTGCTGTAAAATAAGTTGAGGCATTTGTTGTTGTGGTGTGGTTACATAAAAAATAAATAAATTTAGATGAATACACAAGGTTTATACTTGCCATACTATGGGAGGAAGAAAAAATCCCAGATAGCTCTTTGTTTGACTTTAAAAAGTAATATTATATAAGGTGTTTTACTCACCAGTGGCAAACAAGATGTTCAATAAGGTCAATATTAAGTATCTACTTTGACTTTTAATGATTTTATCTAAAAGATTTGCACAGAGTTTTAAATCAATGTGATGGAAGAGTGAAAAATGATAAATGCTTTTGAACTTTTTCACTTGATTTTGGGAATATTTGAAATTAGAACCTCTAATCTGCTCTGTATACGCATCTATCTTGAAACTGTCAGCTTAGCTCATTATTTTGGCAGACTGGTTGAATGGAAAACATCATCGAACATCAGCTTTTATAGTTTTGCCACCGTTTCTCAGTTGAGCTGAGGGTTGGGCTTTCACTGGACTATCCAGACACACAGAACATATGCCGTGACCTAAAACCTTTCACTTCTGGATATTCCTTTATATATACAGTCTACTCCTGCTGAAATATGAACCTCTGTCACACATATACTTTTGTGAGATTTTGCCATTTACGTATCTTTCTACCTGTACTGTCTATAGAAGCAAAACTCTCCCACAGCATAATGCTGCCATCACCAATTTAAGAGAGTGGGTGTTCAAGGCAATGTGTGTTTAATTTTAGCAAGAAAAATGACCAAAAAGTACAATGTTTGTCTCATCTGACCAGAGCATATTCTTTGCTCTGAAGATCTTTGCGTTTGTTGCGCTGGATTTTTATTTGTTTTTGTTTTTTCACACACGTCTATTACAACAAGAATTTGTGTAGGAGAAGCCTGACAGATTTGCTTGATTATGGTGATTATGGAGCCTCAATATAAACCCTTCAGATTTTTATTTGATATTTTATTAAACAATGTGTAATTGTTCTGCTTCTTCAAGGTCACAGATGCAAGGTCTTAAACGCAGTAATGCATGTGATTGCGAAAAGTCAAAATGTAGCTAGGTTTAAGAAGTATGAGTTCTGCTTTAAGACACCACTGATTAGTTACTCCATCCAGTTATATTGGCATTTGACTTGACATTTATAACGTGTTTGTATCTTTGCAGATTGCCATTTCCCTGGCTAATGTGGTCCATGTTCCGTGGCTTCTCTACAGTGAAGGTCAGCTCCAACGGCCTCTTCTGCGCCATCGTGCTCCTCTTCCTCATGCTCCTCTTCGTTATAATCTCCATCGCTGCGTGCAAGTGGCGCATGAGCAAGCTTTTGGGTGTCATCATGTTCATGCTGTACTTAGTCTTCCTGGTAGTCAGCGTCATGCTGGAGAACAAGGTGATCAACTGCCCTGTGACGATCTGAGAGACCTGCCGAGGAGCTGTCCTCTCCTCAGCAAACTCGCTACCATCCAATAACCATCCACATAGTCTGCTGTCGATCTCACCTAACCCTCATGACCCTTTCCACCACAAGAACCATACATGAGAATAAGAGAAAACGGGGAGAAACATCTGTGAATATTTTTGACCCAAAACACTTTTTTGGACGTTCTTTTTAATGGGGGTTGCAAGCCAAACAAACGGTATTATGCATGCAATTAGTTTCACTGGAGGAAGAGGAGTAAAGACGTTGCTAGACTGGTTTAAATAGCAATGCTTTGAACAGCGAAAATGCCATGACTTGATTTGAACGGACAAGCTCGCTCAGCAAACTGAAATGAATGTCAGATGCAGATGTATTTGTATACAAGGACATGGCAGACTCTTCGGATGAGTGTTTCGCTCCAAACCCGATGGTATTGAGACGAGAATCGTGTTTGAGATTTCTCCAAACAAACTTTTCCTCCTTTTTTTTCTCCTGCGAATCCATCTGTGCTCAGTCTTTATGACACGTTGCAGCCTCATCCTGTCCTGCCAATTGCTGTCGACACATTTCCATGGAGCATTTTTTTTGTTTTTATTTTGGCTCAATAAAAGTAGCAGTAGATTAACAATAACAGTATTATTCAGTGTGAAGCCATTTTAACTGTGTGCTTCTTTTATTTTCCTTGCTCTGATTGTACAGAATCTTCCATGCTTTTCATGTACCATTGAAAAAAAAAAAAGAAAAGGGCAAAAACTAAAAGCCTAAGGTTTAGCCACTAGCCTCCAATATATCACTCTGTTTGGAAGAAATGCATGAGTACATAGACTCAATAAGGATACATAACTAAATCCATGTTAGAAGTACCACACTGGAAACATCCTTACCATGTTTAAGCATCATGGTTGGTATAGATTAGTAAATGTGTAGTGCTTTGTTCATCATAAATCTAGCCTCACATCTCCTAGTCAAGCTGTTTAAAGTACAATTAACAAGGTATAGGCTGCATGAAAAAAAAAACTTCAAAGCTAGAAAATAACCAACATTTAAACTGTTGTATAAAAAACTTTTTTTGCTTTTTTTTTCAAATACTTCTTGAAAAAAATCAAGGCGCAATCTCTGTGTATTGCCGATAACCATCAAGGTGTCTATCAAACCATTTCCTCTCTAATCAAAGGTGCTTTTGTGTGCATGTGTTCAAATTTGCAGTCGGAGTCACCTCACAGAAAGTTAATCACTTATAGAGACGTGTTCCATATATACGCACACAACACATCTCTTAAAGCTACGTAGAATGTGGAAAAATCACAGACTTTATAGCAATATACCACATGTTGTCTTTGAGAGAATAAACGCTCCCTGCATGTTTAGCTGATTAGGGATTTTCTCATCAGACTCCATAATTGAAAATAAATAACTAAGTAGTTATTTGATTTAATTTTCAGTTTAAGGTGTGAGATATGTAATTTGAATGAGCAGAATTTTTAAGTTGGTTTTAGTTTATTTTTATACTGAAAAAGTTACATATAAAAGAAAAGAAACGTTGACATTTTCTCCTACTTTTAGCTTCAGTCAGTCAAGTAGGTGCACCATGTATTTTTTTTTTGTGTTTGTATCTTTGGCCGAACTTTATAAATACTTTTTATATTTTGTATGTTCAAACTAGAATCAAATAACTCCTCCTTTTTTTGTTCTTTAATGCTGGTTTTCCGATGAGAATGTCTAATTATTAGAACATGCATGGACCTTAATCCCCTCCATTCGTCTGTCCATTTTTGTCTCCCTTCCCCACAGGAGATAAAGTGGATGACTAGTTCTTCTCCTACCCATTTAGAGCTGGCATAAAACACCCCCTTTTTACCTCAGCACAGCCTTTGTACAGCCACGCCGTAGGAGTTAACTGTAAAATAATAGTATATATAGATTCTCTGAACGTGTGAAGAAACATGCATGTAAGGAACTCAGGCTGGTTACCCTAGCGGAGCTTAAGACCGGTTGTGTGGTAAATTTTATGCATTGTGGAGAAACATCAAGAAAGAAAAGGCTTCTTTTTTTGTAAATACAAACTTTTTATTTCTTTTTTTGCAAAAAGGAAGTTGCACATCTGCATTTAACTCACTACTTTTAAGTTGATGTTCTGAAAGATACTAGGTATGTTGCAGGGAACCCTTTAATAGCACCACTGAGTGAAAACATGCATTTTCAAACACCTGATTAGCACAAAAAAACTTTGCCATAAAAGATTTCTTTTATGGTTTTGTTAAGTAAAGGAGGGCTTTAAATTCCACATTTTCTCCACTTATTTCTTTTATTTCTACAGACACTATTTTTTTTTTCTCTGCACGTGTGCAGAAAAAAAAAAAAAGTCATAACAAAAACCTTCATAAAAGGCTTTGTGTTACCCATCCCATTCTCTTAAGAATCAACTCGGAAGAGTAGATTTATGGCCTCAGAAGTGACTCATGAGCACATTTTTCATGGAACCATTCCCTTGTTGCCCACACACATTATTTAAACCAAGCTCACTTCAGATTTAGTTGTTTTTTTCCTCACTCTTTCAGGAATCATCATATTTTTCTGTGCTCTTTCTGAGACTTTATGCAGAGTAGAATAGGGTATTCTTGGCAGGAAAAAATGAAAATGGTCAGGGGAATGAATCAAACGGCCATATTAATCTGCGATTGTGCTCACTTTAACTCTGAAATTAAGTCTCTTTTTTCAAATAAAATGAAAAATGAATGTGGATATTGCCCCAAATATCTCACTATGACCTGTTCTAATGAGACATTTGAATGTAACAACAGGTAAGGATTTCCAAAGTATGTCAAGATGATTTTCACATTATTTTTTTAGAGAATAAAGAGAAAAATGAACTATCAGAGGAGTTTAGCACATGAGCATCTTTTGTGGTTCACAAGGGTAATCGACCGTGAAAGTTAGCTACTAATGAGCATTCTTGCACTTGTAAAATGTTTTATTTTCTTGGTGTTAATCTAAGATTTATTTAACATGTACATATTCTGTAAACAGAAGCAAATTATCCATATAATCTATATGTGTACAAGGAATATGTCTCTTTATGTAAAAAACACAAAGTATAATATAATGATAACAAATAAAGATGCTAATTCAAATATGCAAATGTATGTTTGGTTCCGTACTTTGTTTGTGACTTTATTGTTTAAGAGCATGTTAAGTGTATGCATGGTTTCCTAACAGGCTTTGTATTTGTGTCTTCTTCTGTTTCTTTTGTGGTCACAAAATTTATATCGCTTTGTGAATATAAAAATTTTTCCAAGGTGGAACAATAAAGCAACACATAACTTTAGCATCTTTAAAAAGAATTTTAAAAAAACTACTATTGGAGTCAAATAGGGAAGATAATTGCTGATAATAATTCTCCAGCTCTCAGATTGTTTATATTTTCTCATAGAATCAAAGCTACAGATGCTGGCCAAAAAAATATATCCGAACTTCAACTTATGTTTTGTTAACTGTTAATCAAATGTGCAAAGATCTTGTAGCCACCATTAAGCTTCCTGCTTAATCCTGCTAGATATTCAATCTTTCTCTCTGGCAGAGCTGGTGGAATTCCTCTAAATGTTTGGTTTTCTGATATTATTCCTATTTTTGAACTTTGCCCACAGTTTTGAAATTGAATTAGGTCACCATATCTTGACATATCTACAGGTGCTGGTCATAAAATTAGAATATCATGAAAAAGTAGATTGATTTCAGTAATTCCATTTAAAAAGTGAAACTTGTATATTATATTCATACATTACATAAAAACTCATATATTTCAGATGTTTATTTTGTTTAATTTTGATGATTACAAATGACAACAAATGAAAATCTCAAATTCATCATATCAGAAAATTAGAATATTGTGAAAAGGTTCAAAATTGATGGCCCCTGGTGCCACACTCTAATCAGCTAATTAACTCAAACCACCTGCAAAAGCCTTTAAATGGTCTTTCAGTCTAGTTCTATAGGCTACACAATCATGGGGAAGACTGCTGACTTGACAGTTGTCCAAAAGACGACCATCGACACCTTGCACAAGGAGGGCAAGACACAAAAGGTCATCGCTAAAGAGGCTGGCTGTTCACAGAGCTCAGTGTCCAAGCACATTAATAGAGAGGCGAAGGGAAGGAAAAGATGTGGTTGAAAAAAGTGTACAAGCAAGAGAGATAACCGCACCCTGGAGAGGATTGTGAAACAAAACCCCTTCAAAAATGTGGGGGAGATTCACAAAGAGTGGACTGCAGCTGGAGTGAGTGCTTCAAGAACCACCACACACAGACGTATGAAAGACATGGGTTTCTGCTGTCGCATTCCTTGTGTCAAGCCACTCTTGAACCACAGACAGCGTCAGAAGCGTCTTGCCTGGGCTAAAGAGAAACAGGACTGGACTGCTGGTGAGTGGTCCAAAGTCATGTTCTCTGATGAAAGTAAATTTTGCATTTCCTTTGGAAATCAAGGTCCCAGAGTCTGGAGGAAAAGAAGAGAGGCACTTCATCCACGTTGCTTGAAGTCCAGTGTAAAGTTTCCACAGTCAGTGATGGTTTGGGGTGCCATGTCATCTGCTGGTGTTGGTCCATTGTGTTTTCTGAGGTCCAGGGTCAACGCAGCCACATACCAGGAAGTTTTAGAGCACTTCATGCTTCCTGCAGCTGACCAACTTTTTGGAGATGCAGATTTCATTTTCCAACAGGACTTGGCACCTGCACACAGTGCCAAAGCTACCAGTACCTGGTTGAAGGACCATGGTATCCCTGTTCTTAATTGGCCAGCAAACTCTCCTGACCTTAACCCCATAGAAAATCTATGGGGTATTGTGAAGAAGAAGATGCAATACACCAGACCCAACAATTCAGAAGAGCTAAAAGCCACTATTAGAGCAACCTGGGCTATCATAACACCTGAGCAGTGCCACAGACTGATCGACTCCATGCCACGCCGCATTGCTGCAGTAATACAGGCCAAAGGAGGCCCAACTAAATACTGAGTGCTGTACATGCTCATACTTTTCATGTTCATACTTTTCAGTTGGCCAACATTTCTATAAATCCTTTGTTTTTATTGGTCTTCAGTAATATTCTAATTTTCTGATATGATGAATTTGAGATTTTCATTT